TGTAGTCAGTAACCCCCTTATTACAAAACAAGGTTTATCTTTAGTCCAGGTTTAAACCATTGAGTCGGGTTTTAAATTTTGAATCTTATTGTCATCTACCTTCAATTCGAAATACAAAAACTGACTCAATGGTTTAGTCCTAGACTAAAGTAAAACCTTATTTTGTAATAAGGCCGTAAGAATCTGATACTTCCTCTCACCTCACCCTGGGCGGGAGAAGTCATTTAATGATTTTACCCTGACAAAAAATAAATAAAAAATATCTCCCCTATATTTATTTTACTCTTTGCAGATATCGCTGCAGAACTGCATTACAGTATTGTCAGTCATTTGTCAGGGTTCAAACTTCAACCTTTTTTGAGTCACACTCGGGTGTGTGTAACACTTGGTTTCCTTACCAACACCTGTATAAGCTTAGGTCAGGTGGTTGGGTCAAGAATTTGATGCAGAAAGCTGTACATCATAATATGGATATGGCGCGTATCGTCCGAAAATTTCCCATTTTTGAAGTCACGACATTGGAACTTTTCGCTATACATATTTTGTTTTTTATATAAGACAGACGAGCAGACGGATTACCTGATGGTATCCCTCCAATGGCGGAGGCAGCGCTGATTGCTTAACGCCTTTTAGAGATTATGGTTTAGGAAACTTAGGGATTGGGGGAAGAAATAATTGGGCCTCCGGTAATCTCATTCACACGGCGAAACACAACGCTTTGGTTATTTCATGGCGGTTTTCGTTGAGGTCGATTTTATGCGTGGCCGTGGTCTACGGTCGAACCACCCCTTTTTAAAAAGCATTAGTAAAACGAGTAAAAAAAATTAAAATTATATAATAATATACCTAAGTACACAATAATTTATAGAACACAAAATATATTTTCTTTATAATATGAGACACAACACTCACATAAAAATCATCGAGAAAACATCAAAATGTTTAGCACCCCTAAGCGTTCAAGAGCATTGTTATGGCAAAATTCAAGATGGCGATGCCATATCTGTACAACAGTTAATCGCATCTTCATTTAAAATGTCACTGGGGTGCTACAGTGAGTCATCGTTATAATATTTTTATATGTAACTAGCTATTCCCGCGCGGTTTCACTCGCTGCTCGGCTCCATTTGATTGTAGCGTCATTTTTTATAACCTATAGCACTCGGGAATATTGTAGCTATCTATCAGTAAAAGAAATTTGGTAATCCGACCAATGGTTCCATAGATTACCCCCTACATATAAACTTACAAACTTACAAATTTTACCTCTTTATAATATTGGTATAGACTTAATGGTCACGCCTTTCACAATGGGAAAAGGTTTTAAGTGTTGGAGAGCTATGCTTAGTCACAAATGAGCCAACTTCGGATCATTGATAGCACGGCCTCGCAACACTTAACTTCGACGTGTGAGTGAGCTTACCAGAGGCCCAACCCTTCATTTTTAGTCCCCAAATCTCCTATCCTCAAACCCCTACCTTACATACCGAAATTTAATAACAAATTACGCGTGTCAATCGTCGACGCCGATTGCTTACCGCCAGGTGACAAAAAGTTAATCGAAAACATTAGTATTGGCTTGGCTATTTAACCGGTGTATATTGAAATACTTTTTTTTTAAATAGTTTAAGTAATAAATTAATGATGTGCTTGGTTTATGGTAAATATCATAACCTCATTATACGTATACTAACAAACAAAACTATAACTCGGAATTTTAATTCCATTCCAGATTTGACAATTTCAGTGTTGCAACGTTATGACACGTAATAAATAGTGACGTTGCGAAATTATTCGATATGGTAATCGAATATTTCTGAATCGATTCCTCTCGTTTATAAATTTACTCTCGTAAACTAAGTTTATCAGGAATTAAAATATTTCTGAACCGATAATTTAGTTTTGACAATTATTTAACGATCTGAGACTTTTCTTTTGTAATTGTGTGTGAAATTAATAAAAAATGTGATCATGAAAGAATGTGACAAATAAAACAGACATTTTATAAACTGTCGCCGTCATCGCTATCGCTATCGCCGTTACTCTATGTAACATTTATTATGAATTGTGTCTTTGATATTTATTGTCAATTAACATATCTAGCTTACTCATTTTTTCCTCTTCTTTGAAAACATGGGATACACATTTAGACCATTCGGTAGCCGTAATTTTTTGAATGCCTTCCTGAAACTGATTCACTGATTGTTTATCGTTTTTTGTGTTCATCACTACACTGTTATATGCGGTATCATTATTTCACAAAATGACAGTGGTCAATGTCAAATCAGGAATCGAATTAAAAGTCTGACATATAGTACATATGTCACTATAAAAATTAAATTTCTCTACTTTTAAACACTGGAGAAAATTACTATTAACATTGCACCTACTGCAGTAATTTAGTATTAGCATTACATCCGTGCGAAGTCGGGCCAGGTCATTAGTACTTATCCAACCGAAAATTCCCAATAATCATGACTAAAACACTCTAAATCACACATCAAACCGAAAACCACAACTATGAATCATTGATACACAAAGTTTTAATCGTCATCAAATTATGTTAAGCAATTCCCGAGATAAACACCACCATACGAACTTTCTCTCGAGTTTATCGATAAATGTATTGTTTAATATCGAACCGGCGACTGGGAAGTATGTGGGGCACTGTGTCACCTTGGAGGACAATGGTAGATGGTTCATTGTCTGTGTCGCGTGGGTAGGCGGGTCGTTAGCTTTAAGGAGTTCTTTGTGGTCTTCGAGAACGTTATGCTGTCATGGTTCCTCGAAATTTGTGATTTGTAATCTTGTAAGGTACCTCAGTTTGGGGTTAAAGGGAAAATTTTGAGCGTCTTTTTTTAATAGGGTTGGTTGTGATGTACTTACTGTGTTTCCGACTCGGATGGAGATTGAAAAGGATGGTTTTTAGATTCACACCCACTCCTAGAGCGGGAGGAAATTATTTGATGATTTTGCACACTCAAAAATGAAGTAGATAAGGTTAAGGACATTTTCTCATTCTCTCATTTTCTCATTTGATAAAACATGATAACTATGCTTTCGTTTTTCAGACCTTTTCTTGGTAGTTATATACTTTTTTATTGTCTAAAGAATTTCATAATCCGGTTAGTACAAAGTTTGAATTCTGTATAGAATTTCGTTTTGTGTTTAAAAACTTAACTTTGGCCGACCAGGAAATTGCTATTTTGAGGGGGGAAAATCATCAAATAACTCTCACTCGCCCATGGTGAGGTGAAAGGGAGTATCGGAGTGTGAAGAATCATACTAAACATAACTCCCCCCCACCCGTTGTTCTCTCCTGGAGGCCAAGGCCGCGGTTCCTTAGTACGCGCGACCCCGGCTAACCAATATTAATACTTATTATCAAAAGCGATAATTCTGAAATTCTGAAGTCAACAATCTCTTCACCGAATCCACGCTCTCTAGCTCAGTAGCCCTACTCACAACTACTTGACCATCGGAAACAATCAACAGTAATGATAAATTGATCAAAATGACGAAATAGTTGTACATTACCGTAACGACGTCTATTGTAAGGTTTGAACTCGAAATGATTGATGATTCCAAGTCAGCCTATGATATAACGGAATTAAGTTAATGATCATTAGAAATAGAAGTCTTTGTTCTTGGAAGATGGGTTTTTTATGGAATAGGTCGACAAACGAGCAGAAGGATTACCTGGTAGTAAGCAATCAGCGCCGCCCAACGACACTCGTAATACCAAAGGAGTTACAAGTCCGTAGCCAGCCTCTTTTGGGTTATTTGGGATTTAAGGATAGGGGATTTGAGGATTTGGGATTTGGAGAGGAACGGATTAGACCTCCGGTAACTTCACTTACATGGCGAAACATAACGTAAGTGTTACCTCACACCGGTTTTTTCTGAGGCCGTGGTATCACTCCGATCGAGCCGACCAATTCGTACTGAAGCTTGACTCTTCCACATTAACACAATGCTAGTTATAATCAACATACTATCTTAAAAACAGTGATAGCTCGGACGTTAAGGCGCCCGCTTCTGATGCATGAGGGTGCAATTTCGAAACCTGCCTAATACCGATTTGACATTCCAAATTGTGTCTTTTTCCGACTTTCCAATTTCATTTAGACACCACTGATAATATAATGGTAAAGACGTGGAGCGGAAGAAAAAAAGGGGATGATTTTTCATCCTCAAAAGAAATAGGCACTACTGATAAACTGGGAAAAGTCGGGAGGAAACCTAGTCCCGTCCGAAACGTATTGGATTTTAAAATAGAAACAGTATTTTTTTAATCCATAGCACTCTTAGGAAAACGTCCTTTTTCCAAGTGCCCCGTGTAATTATTATACTGTTAGTTTTATTAGTTGAGTTCTAAGTCCAAAGCGATTCGGAAGAAAAGGAAGAAGTGAAAAAGAAGAAAAGTGAGTGAAATAGTGAAGTGCAGTTAGTTAAGTGAGTTAAGTCAGCGTGAACAGTGAGCGGCAAACGGAAGTTTGTGTCAGTCGCCCGGACTCTGCTGGAGAGGAACGCCGAAAACTTAACTCGGTGGATGCTGTCATTTAAGTGCAATAGAAAGTCTGAAAACCGGTATTAGTGTTTAATTTCATCCAATCCCGTAACCCGAGCCCGCATAGTCAGGCACGTAACATTAACATTTTACGTGGCCCTTGGTAGCCAGTGTGCGTAAACATTTTAGATAAAAACTTATAATTGTTAAGTATGTCAAAATTCTTCAGTCTAACCCCCCTTGCTCAGCAGTCCTCTCAGGATCTCTCAAGCAACGAAGCAAGTACCTATTAAAGAACTAGACTAATACTATAAAGAAGTAGAATTTGAAAGTTTATATGTAGGGGGTAATATTTAGAACCACTGGTCGGGTTTTCGAAAATTCTTTCACAAATAGACAGCTACAATGCTTCTCAATGCTATAAGTTCTAAAACATAACCCTACGACCAATAGAAGCCAAGCACCGCGTGGCAGTAATAAATAAAACAATTCCTTAACAAGAACAAAAACTTTAATTCTATTTGCTTAGCTGTATTTTTCCACATCATAATGATTGCTAGCCAATTATGATACTTATTGTTAAGAGGTCAAAAACCAATGAGCTGAAGTTTAGTGAAGACTTCTTTCATTTGCTACCACAAGCTCAAAAAGCCAGTACTCAAAGACAAATCTACATACTTTAGGGTACAGAAAGTAAAGTTCTCTAATATCGGCAAAGGAGGATCTTCCGAGCAGGCGAGGTGATTAGCCTAGTGGACTACTGCCAACAGTTGTACGTAGGGATTTTCTATTTGTGTTTATTTGCGCGCGAACTTCACTAGCGTGATTTAGAACTTGTTACGCCATCTGTTGACCATTGTCGTCAATCTATGTGCGTCGCCAAATTAGTTTTGAAACGTCATCTTAGCTTCTTTTTGAAACGTCATCTTAGCTTCTTACTAATATTCTTCTTCTCAGTTGCCAAAATCAACAAAAAAAAAAATATTCTTCTTATAGTCGGTCCCTCATGTCTGTGGATCGTGGTCAGCATCGGGGTAACATCTGGAGCGGATGATCCGCCTCCATCGGTTTCGATCCATCTCTCACTACCGTGAAGAACTCGGAGGACGATGAACCTTTCACTTAATCGGTCCATCTGGTTGGTGAACGACCACGCGTTCGGTGTTCCCAACGACAATATTTTTTTCCAGACTTTCATCGCCTCTGCGCACTGTGTGGCCGAAATAGGATAGAATGCGTTGTTAGCATATGGTATTACTAATATTATAAATGCGATAGTTACGATGTTTGGATGTTTGTTACTCAATCACGCGAAAACGGCTTGACGGATCTGAATGAAATTTTGCAGAAGACAGACAGACAGACAATACACTCTGAAATAGGACATAGGCTACTTTTCATCAACATACGACGCAGGCGAAGCCGCGGGCGGAAGCTAGTAATAGAATAGTTCGACAATCTGGTCTATCAGTGCAACTAGGTGTCCCTTCCATATTGTAGATTCATATAAACCTCTGAACTCTCATCAATAAATATCATAATACATAACTTGTCTGTATATAAGTCTGTCCGTGTGTTTAATCCTGGTTAATTTTGAACACGGCCTTGGCAACGCTGCCCTTTTTCAAGTCCTCCATAGCTTGCTTATACTCCGAAAGTTTATAGGTCTTCACTCCAAGTTTGTGGTAGTCCAGATACCTGGAAAATGTTAAGTATCAGTAAAATTCTGTCACTCCCTCCAAACCATAGGCGAGGAAAGGCACTTGGTGATTTTATCTCTTAAAAAAACTTCTATACAGCGGTTAAAGTTGGTTACTAAGATAGAAGAGATTTAAAAGATTACCTGGTACCCATAGCCTTCAGCCAGCTGATGGCGCTTGGGAAGCTGAATGGATTAATCTTCACTCCAATAATGGTCAGCTCCTTGTTGTAAATGTCGAAGGGGTTCAGTCTGAAATAAAAAAAATGTGGTTATTGACATACAACTTTGGTAATAAAGCGAATAAAAAAAAACCAAGAAGTATCTTTCTTGTACCTAAAGAGGGTCTTTCGAATGGTATGAAAGTTTTCATCGAGTTTTGTGTTTGTTTAAATCGGAATAGAAATAAAAGTAATAGAATATATATTTTTATTTATTTGAGGACTGTCAGACGCAAAACGTAACTCAATCCTATAAAAATTTTTAATCCCTGCCCCTCCCATATCCCTTCCCGATCCTTATGTCCCCAACCCCTATCCCCAAAAGGCCGGCAACGCACTCGTAACTCCTTTGGTGTTGCTGGTGTCCATGGGCAGCGCCGATTGCTTACCATCAGGTAATCCTTCTGCTCATTTGCCGACTTATACCATATATAAAAAAAATATCATTTTTTTACTCGTAGGACGATTGCACTTAAATCGAAAAAACTTTTTTTTCGAAATACAGTCTTCAAATTGCCGACCCCTAAAATCCCAACTAATTTACTTGTAAGTACTCAATTTGCTTACCATCAGGTGATCAGCCTAATCGTTTGCCAATCTATACCATTTAAATATTTATTTTCTTGTTTTTTTTTTTAAAAAACGTTACGCCACCTTATGATTTTCTTCTGTGTTGTGGGTGTGGTTACAAACATACAATTTCACATGCACATGACACCCAGACCCGGATCAACAATTTGTGGATCACACGTTGTAGAGTTGTTCCATGCGGGTATTGGACCCGCGTCACGTTGCACGGCAGCCAGTTGCCCAGCCACCGCACCAATCGTGTAGTCAATTTATTATCATTAAATGTTAATGCTATGATTACTTACGATGAGGTGTGTGAAGGGGGGCAGCATCCAAACAGCACGTATTTTCCTCCCTCCTTCATGTAGTTGAAGGATATCTCCATAACCTTACCCACACCTGGAAAACAAAAGCCAAAATTATTATCTGGTGAATTCGCTCACACAGCGTAGCTTGGAGATTTTCTGTGAGGCCGAGGAAATCTTGAGGAAACCTTTGGTTAAGGAAAGAACGACTTAAAATGTGGTCAAAAATTCAAAGAGCTTACAGGCACTTTTGAACCTCAAACAAAGCTTAAAGTTAAAAAGTGTCAGTCTGTCGGTCAGTCCTCTTAGTGAAGCTATTAGTTTGTTCCAAAGTGTAGATTCCGATGGAGAAGAACGAGCAAGAAACTCCATTGTTACTCTTTTTCAGTCAGTTTCACAATGAGATTGTTTGTTACATCAATTTTTGACAGCAATGTAACAGAAATATTGGTTGTTATTCCTGAGGTTCGAGCCTCAGGAATAACACACTATCAAAGATAGCCGAGAAGTGGCAGTAAACCATGCGAGAGAGGCTAGTATTCGATAAAAAGGTAGAAATATGGATCACCTGTGCAGTCGATGATAACGTCATATGTAGTCTTCTCCTTAGCTAAAATATCGGGTGTAACAAGCCTGAAGCCGGTGTCTGAAACATGAAAATAATATGTTAATGTTAATACGTTAAAACATAAAAAATATAGAATTAGAAAATTGTTTTGTGTTAAGAACCCACTGGTGTTGCTAAGTTTTCGAAGTCAAATTCAAAGTCATGGACAATGGCAAGGTCGAAGCCACGATCATAGGGAAGGTCAAAGTCTATGCCAAATTCAATGTCAAAGTCAAAGTCAAAATCATACTTTTAATCAAAGTCACGATCATAGCTTTAATCAAAGTCAAGATCATAGTTTTAATCATAGTTTTAATCAAAGTCAAGATCACTTTACTTAGTTTTATATTTATAGGAATTTTCTTACCTAATCGCTTGACGATATCCAGCCTAGTCGGGTTCATCTCGGAGACAGTGACTTCCCTGTGTCCATGATGATGCAGGGTTGTGATCCAAAGGTTACCTGGACACATATGTTTAAATTTTATGAAATGCTTTCACACATGAATTCAAAATCTAATTATAAAATGTAAACTGTCTTTAAGAAGAATTCCCTAATTTTAATCTTATTCAATTTACGGTACAAATATAAACATACTTAGCCATATTAAGGTAAACTTCAAAACTAATATTTATGAAACAAATATTTTAACGGACTTTTATCTGAGTTTGGAAAATCATCAAATATCGTCTATCGTCCGGGGAGACGCGAGAGGGAATGTCAGACTTTTAGTGACTTAAAACCTCCCCGATCCTTCTGCTGCCCCAGGCTGAGGCGGCAGTACGACTATCCTATTGCGCTTAACCCGCAACCCCGGCTAAACATCGGCCCTGAGTTGGGCCCCATTTATGGTGGTCTTTTGGTATTTGAGCGCGTGGAACGCTACACGACGGTCAGTCTCTCAGAATCATCCAGCCATGCTCCAAGTGTTCCAAGTAATATTCTTGGAAACTCTTTTTTTGAAGTCATGCGCTCGGTTGATACGCGTGCTTATTTGCCACATAATGAAAAAAATATCAATTTTCCACTTACCAATGATACCAGCTCCAAGAATGAGAATCTTGTCTCCTACTTTGAGGGGGGATGCGCGGTCGAAGCCGTGGGACACGCAGGAGTATGGTTCACAGAGACCAGCTGAAAACAAAAGACAGATAATTATGAGAAGAAGATAAGAACGATGATTGATGATGATGATGATGATCCTGAGGAAACCTGAACTTATAATTTCTAATCCCTTGAACAAGCGTGGTTTTAAAATGCTCAAACCTTCTCAGCCTGAGAAGAATCAGTGAAGAGGAGAGAGTAATGTGCACTTATAAGCTGATGATGATGATGGTAATGACGAAGTAAAAAAACGTATGACGTACAGATTTTTTAAAAGAAATAGTGGTAGGAAATAATACAAATTCCATCTCAGTTAATTATTATTCATATTACAATATTTCATTTTTTCTGATCAGCATTAAAATTCGATACCAATATAGAGTCTAGTAGTACATGAAAGACATCGCTTCCATCGATCGGTGCACGAAGCAGGAGTTGGAACGGTTAACGAGGAAGACGCTTTAGCCTACTGGTTCAGCTAAGGAGAATGATGACATCCTAATAGTGGTTGAATGCGAAGAAGTGAATGATTATGCAAATAATAATGATAATGATGATGTCAGACAACTAATCAATGTAGACGAAAAAAAAGAATTCAAGGTCACGCACCTTGTTCAGTGGTAATCCCATCGGGTAGTGCGAAGACCTGGCTCTGTGGCACTCGTACATACTGCGCCCAGCCACCATCCTTCCAGATGCCAATGGTGCTGTTGATACCAGCGGTCAGACAGTACTGGTAGTTACCCTTACGGCAGAAGTCACATAGGCTGCAAGACCTGCAATGGGAATGAAGAATTGCAAGGTTTAATTACCCTAAGTTCGTCATCATTACTCGCTGTCGTGGTGGCCTAGAGGTTAAGGCGATCGTTCGTCAAGCATGAGTGTGAAGGTCGAAAACCTAGCAAGTACAAATATGACCTCTTTCTTTCTTCTTCTTTCTTTCACATACAAAGGAATGTTGAAGGAAAACATCATCAGGAAACCTGAACTTATAATTTCTATTAAATAAAATTTAAAATCGCCTATCCGCCTTGAGCAAGTGTAGTGATTAATCCTCAAACCTTCGCCGTGTAAGAAGATGCCTTACTCTGCAGTAGGCACTTATAGCCTGATGATGTGGTGATGAATTCCTTTTCATCACTGCACAGACAGAGAACAGCAAATCTCCTTCACTTCATGATTAATAAATGTCAAGGAGTCGAATTCATTTCTGAAGGATATCTTCAAAACCCGTCTGAATAGGTTGCTTATAGTAGGGCGCGTGCTTCACCGTCACGTCTTAGCTTACCACCAGGCAAAGTATTTCCGATACAAAAATGCTGACTTACGTGTTTGGGTCGATGACAACTTTCTGTCCCACTTTGAAGATAGAGTTCTTTCCAACCTGATGGATGACTCCTGAAGACTCGTGACCCAAAGGTATGGGACGGGTCTTGATAGCTGGGAATTCACCCTGAAAATATGTTCAAGAATAGGTATTATAACTTCAATTTATTGGTACTGGACTCATCATCATCAGCCAAAAGATGGCACTTGATGAAACAAAACGCACTAATAACATACTTCTTTTTATGATGATAGACACTTGGTCTTCTCAAAAGACCAGTCTTTTCAGTAGACCATTACCTGTATGATATGGAGATCAGTGCCGCAGATGCCTGAGTAGTGGACCTTCACGATGACGTCATCATCATTCTCCAGCTTCGGTAATGGGTAGTCCTTTTGGTAATATAAGTTAAGAGAGCTTCCATCAAAAACAACAGCCTCCATTTTTGGTAGTTACTGTAACAAAGAGATTATTTAATAATTAAACGGATTTATAGACGAAATCGCGTGAGAAAACTAGTTAATTAGTATAGATAATTTATATCTTGACATTATAATTATTTATTAAGACCCTAATAAAGATAAGTTTATCTGTATCTTGAAGGAAAATTACAAAATAATACCGGTTTATACATACATATACATAAACGACATCTTAATACAGTTTGATAAATAAATAACACCTTGTTTGTTATAACGAATTAGTAGTACTTATTTCTTGATCTACAAATGCGAGGATTCATGGAGTCAGAAATGACACGACTGTTTCACTACATAGTATAAAACAAAGTCGTCCCTTTATCCCTATGTTTGCTTAAACCTTTAAAACTACGCAACGGATTTTGATGCGATTTTTTTTATTAAATTGATTCATTTAAGAGGTAAGTTTATATGTAAAATAACATCCTTCTAATTATAGGAAAATTAGGTATGAGCATTGCACCCGTGTGTAGTCGGGTCGCTAGTACTCCTAGAACGTAATTTATATGAACTAGATGTATACTAGATCATAATAAAAATATGGTGGAACAAGCGAATAGTCTAATATATTTATGAGTTTTTATTAATAACGAATAAGCATTTTAGCTAGGGTTACCATATCTCAGGATTTGTCCTGAGATATCAAGCTTCCAGGCTTCTTAGCTTAACTCAGATACACAGGTTACAGTTTGAACATCCCTTTATTAAGAGTTCTTAAAGATCCATTTAATACAACCTTCTTTATTTAACAATTATTTCAGTTAAAATCTATATTTATTTATGTAAGTAAAACCAACTAAAACGATTATTTTTTTCGCTAAAATGTAGTTATTAACCAAGTATAAAATCCCAGGACTTTTCCGTAGAAATCAGGTTTCTTATCTGGTCCGGTCTTTTGATTTTGTCATCCGGTAACCGTAATTTTAGCACAATAATACAAAAAAATGAAACAAGGAATTATTATATTTTACCTTACAAGTAATAAAACAATTTATAATTATTAATCGCTGCTACAAAAAGCAGTGTAAACTCAACAAGTACATTAGAACGAATGTTGTATGAATGAAAATGAACGAACATAGTTTACAAGTCGTTCATTCATGTTTGTTTGTAAACATTATATTATTAGTCAAGGTAGTCAAATAAGAGCGCGCAAGATTTATATTAAAAAATATTTATTTAATTAATACACGTCTGCTCAGCATGAGCTTTAAGATGACAATGAACTGATCTGAACGCTTAAATCTAGGTTACATGAGCTTATATACTACTTGAGGGCTTTTACATGTGTGTGTCTGTGTCTGGACCTCACAGTTGGCCAGCAACAGCAATCTGTCGATCACATTTCTCTAACTGTTTTGGCAAACATTAATTTTATGAGAATTAACAATTAGGAACTTAAGTCTAGTGGTTACTTGGAACCGCTGGGTGGCATGGCGTGATCTTTGCTTATGGTAACTATACGAGGAAAGGATTGGCTACACATAACTCCTCCCTCCGTAAGTGCAAAATCATCATCCGAAGGTTCATCACGAGGCTGATGATTTTGATTCGGCTTACGTACTAATACATGTCTATAACGATACATAGCTATCATTAACATAATAAGTAAAATGAGGTAAATTACAATAGTTCCTATACTAACACTGTGCACATTCACAAAATGCCCTTCACTATTTATCACTTCACTGTTGTCTTTTAAGGCGTGTGATAGAAACTGTAGATTTTCTAAGTTGATCTCGTCTAGGCTGATAGTTTTCCGTGGCACGGTGTCCTTTGGTGTCATGATGCTAGGTAAGTGTATAGCTGGTGAGCTGCGGAATTCAACATCTCCTGTCTGGAGACGGTGTTTTCTTAAAGTTGTTGTACCAAGTTTTACTTCACAGGCGTTGTTCAGGGTTATGATGTAGGTGCCCATGATGTCGTGTTGGCTCATGTCGTTGCCGCAGTATTCTGTTAAGAATGTAGAGAAACCTGCGAAAATTATCCAAGAGTCTGGTTGTATGGCTTTTACTTTAATCGTAGATGCATTTACTGGTACAGGCAGGCACGATGTTATCTTCATAGAGAACGTCATCAAATCTGTAATGCATTTGCTTTCCTCTTCTGAAGATACGTTGCTGTCGTAACAAAGGAACTTTCCTTCGTCTATTTCTCTGCAAGGCTGAGAGAGCGATACTATTTTCGACCCTTTCGCAAGGATATGGGAATGTTTAGGTGTTAATATGAATGATAAGTCAAGGTGGGAATTGTACATAGGAAAAGGATGTAAGGTATAATAATTATAGACATCTGCTTGGACCGTTGGTACTGACATAATAAAAGTTATTTGTTTGCCTTTTACATAAGCTTTGATATCAATACAATGTTCAATATTAACTAAGTTTTCAATAGTCACAGGAAAAGGTAGCCTATCCGTTTTCTCAATGTCTATGAGAATGTTAAATAGTTCAGTTGTATTTAATATAGATTGATGCAATACATTAACTCTACTAAATGCTACTGCTGTTTCTACTTCATCTAAGCGGGTTAATAATATTTGAAAGTTATGAATTAACATATTATATGTATTTAAAACAAGGCTCTTACTTCTTTGGAACTGGGTGTTATTCAAAATTTCTTCAATTTCCTTAATAGTTTTTTCTAATATTATAAAGTTGTTTCTCGTTGAGTTGGTAATGTTAACAAATGTATCGACCATCTCGGAAACTAAAGTAATTTTATTCATCATTACATTTTGTTTCGATTGCATACTGCTTATCAATTTATCGTATCTGACTGCATCATCATTGTCTAAGTTTCCAGTAAGAGCTTTAATTATAGATCCAACAGGATTGATAAGTCCCCTTCTTATTCTCATGGTTGGAATTAATTGATTATATCGTTCTATGGTTATATTCATTATATATTGGGTTTGCAACTCAGCATCAACGAGATTACCATCTAAAACGTAAATGTCTAATTTTTCTTTCATATAACTAAATATTTCATAATACTTTCCTATGTTGTAATCTAAATTCTTATGAACTAAATCTAAGATCTTAACTATGTGCCAATTATAGAGGCTTAGCGAGGCTTGTCCTTCTTTAACGGGAAGAATTCCCGGATTATCTTCAATCCTTTGAAGTTGAAGGGCCAGGCTCAGGGTCGCTTGCATCGCTATCACGAGGGCGAACCTGTGAAGGACGCTTAATGTCTTTAACTGGTATTTTCTTTGTCCTACGGGCTTTATTAGTAACTGTTACCGTATTCCTATTTAGTTCATCTATGACTGTTGCCTTTTGGTATCTAGGCTTATCCTTGCTACGTCTAGTATTGACTCCTTTCATATAAACTTGGTCACCTATCTTTATATCGAATTGTTTTTCTCCGCCGCGTTTTTCTTTAATCTTTTCTTTGGATTGTAACATTTTATTCGATAGATAATTGTATAGATATTTAGTACGCTTAACATGATCGGTTACTAATTGTTGGGTGTAATATTTATTAAAGTCTACCGCAAAAGCGCTTGAGGTGTCGGTATGTCCGAAGGCTACTTCAAATGGAGTTAAGCCAGTAGTGGAATGAATAGATTGGTTGTAAGCCATGATAGCATAAGTCATGACGGATGCGGCGTCAGTTATCTTCCGCTCATACTTAGCTAGTCTATAAATTTCTATGATAGTCGAGTGAAATCTTTCTACCAGTCCCATAGAATTTGGGTTATGTGGCGTCCCTATGTGAAGATCTATTTTGTAAAAAGCTAACATTTCTTTTAAAAGGTTATTATTAAATTCTGATCCTGGGTCGGCACTGACTTTTAAAGGAACACCATATATAGAGAAGTATTTTATTAGTGCTCTTATAACTTCTGGTGTGGATCTATTTGGTACTTCGAATGCTTGTCCTAGCTTACTGAATGCGTCTATTATAGTAAGGAAATATGTTCCTTCTATTGAAAACATATCTATGAATATTTCTTGAAAAGGTCTATTTTGTGTTTGAGTCAACTGTAATTCAGGTTTTAATGGTTTTCTATCGTACTTCATTTGCTTACAAAGGTCACAAGAGTTGATTATACTGGCTACGGTTTGTTCTAAGTTATTCCAATAGTATGTTCTTTTCAAATGGGCTACCGTTTCTTTGATGCCACGATGGCATGTTTTCCCGACGTGGTATTTTAGTACTATTTCTCGTTGTTCGTTTTCATCTTCTACGTAAACGACTCTTTCAGTACATTCGTAGATGTTTACTGCATCCTTTTTAAATAGGGTTGTAATTACTTTTGAAAATTGTTGACGGTGACGTTGATCTTCGAAATAAATGTAATATTTAACTTTTGGGCGAATATAAGCTTTTAAATAATCTTTAATTAAATCTGGGTCATCGATAGGTAAGTGTACTTCGAACACCTTTTGCTTATCTCGGGATAAATCTTTAACGCTATACTCGTTTTTATGCCAAGTATATACTAATATCTGATTTGGTTTAGTATCAATGGCTTCTTTTAATATGGGAATACCAGAAGAATCGGTATTTTCTTCTGAATGGACTGTTGCTAAGGAAGGAGAGTCTGCTCTTTCCGAGGCTGTGACTGTTTCGCTTCCTACTGATGGTATCGAGTAAGGCGATCTAGGATACAGTGTTAAAGAATATTTAGAGGATAACATAATACATAATATTCGCTAGTAACATAATACATAATATTTATGTAAAAATAGGCTTTGCCATATCTAACAGTGACATAATTATCAAACATTAATGACATTCTTATGACCAATTTAATTCAATTTTAATCTTCATTACAATAATATTTATATGTGACATGGCAATCTTAATTCTTAATTCTTAAAAAATTCTTAATTAATTCTTAATCTTTATTTTAATAATATTTACAAAACCAATACAGCAACTTTAATCCTATAAATAATATTGACATTTTATTAATTTGTATTATACAGAAATATTTGTACGCCATAGTATGGCAGGATATGCTG